TCTAGAACACTTACATAAATATATAAATGTCTGAGAGTTATCTTACAAAATATAATAGTCAATTTTGCACTCTTATCGTTTACCCATAAAAAGTTTTCATTTCTAGATGTAATCTAGAAGTAATGATAGGGTCCTCTAATTTTTCCAATGATTCCAGTAATGCTTCTAACGTTTTTGGCAAAACTGGGAGTAATTTTTTTCTGACATTATAAATACTTCGTTTCACTGATTTCAAATTCATAATAGTTAAATTGGTATTATCTTCTTCCGTTGAAACGCGATGTAAAATTTTCCTGGATTGAGTACTTATCTGCAGCTTTATGCTTAGCTGGTACTTTTAAAAACTGATGTTGAATACAGTTGGCCTTCAGACTTTCATGAGAATGATTTAAGTTTTGTCTAGAAATTACTACATCATACCCAATTGTGTAATTTCAAGAATACGTTTTAAGAATAAATGATTTTCACAACACAATTCAAGACTATAGCAATATAAACACTTTTAAAATATTTTCACAAATGAATAATCTCGAAGATTCGTGCATATTTATATATTTAATATTAATTGCTTCTTCGAAATGCATTGTTTGTAATATCTCTTGAGCTACCTTGGCATAAACAGACTTACAGATAATATATTTTGTCAATGGCTGATTTACTAATTACACAATCCCTTTTCGGGGGAATAAATATATTACCTAGAACCAAATACTGAAATTGTCATTAGACCACACAATAAAAAATCCTAATATCTATTTTACTTTTAATCCAGTTTCAAGAAATTTTAATTTTACAGAAAAACCTATACTAACCTTGTACAATGTTTTATGATATTTTATTAAAAAACTAATTTTTGTTTTATTTACAATCAATTGTATTGAAAAAAAGAAGTCATAATGTTGATTACATATTACAAAAACAATAATTTTCAAAATGCTGGGTTTACGCAACATTGGGAACTAATGGGTTAATTTCTTCTTTGAAAATCATTACGAAAATTTACCTGACCCTTTGGACTAACCTGTATACCTTAATTTTAAGGGCTTGGACGAAAATGTATACCTTCTTTTATGACACTCCTTATTTTGGACGAAATTGTAATCACTGGGTTGTTCCATTTCTTTTACTTTTTTTTCTAGTTCTCAAATCAGTATTGATTTTGTAGTCTTATTAATAAAACCCTCCATATGCCATAGTAATACCTGAACTAGTAAAACTGGAAAAATAGTACTAAATCGAGATTTAGGTTAGTATCTAGAGGTAGAGCTAACAATATACCGAGTAAATCCGGCTGTAGTTTCACTTTATGTAGAGTCTACTTTTAAAGATTTGAGAAATTTAGACCGTAGCGTATGCGTTGCTAGATTTTCTACGAACCCGTTTCACACATTTCTTCTCCACAAAATACATATTTCTCACTTACAACACTCATTATTGTAATACATATAAAACTTATGTCATAAGTTTCTCCAGAAAATACTCTTAATTTATGTATTATCTTAATATTATCTTAATCTTATTAATGTTATGTATTAAGCAAAACTTTTTAACCTACCATTGTAAGCTTTAAAATTCAAATTGAGGTCTTTCGCTTTCTCTAAAGTTCTTTTTTTATTATCGGTCCATATAATGGAATGATATTACTTCTGTCTTTACAAGCCCAATTATGCACTATAGTATGCACTCTTTTTTTTTGTTAAACTTAATTTCCACTTTCACTTTACCACTTTTTAAAATCGGCGTTATTCTTTAAAATGTCACTAACTTAAGTTTTTCCTATTTGAAACTTCTCGGTAAAACTCGAGCACAATCGATAATTTTTCTTCTAAACTTAAAAACTTTCTCTTGTATTGCGAAATTACAATTATTTGATCTATTTGAATTTTTATTTTTTTTTGCTGTATATCAGCTTGCTTTTTACATTGGCTCAGTTCGATGCTCATTAGATAATATAGTGACAACATTATTATCTTTCCATTTTACAGCCGCAATTTTAGCGCTCTCTTCAAAAGGGCTACAAAAATATCCTGTTGGTTTTTTTATCATACCTCTTCAAATCTCTGGGTTTCATAAATTTCGTTACTAAAATATTATGTGTATCATTGGAGTTTTCCCAATACATAATTCGCCTTGGTAATGGAATGTAACCACTTAAAATTAAAATTCCCAATAATACATAAAATCAGTTAACTTCTATTTAAATATAATTTTTCGAGGTAGTATAATTTGTTAGTTCTCTACTTAAATACTCTATTATTTCTTTGCTCATAAAAAATTCAAAAAATTCAACTGGATACTGTCAGAAGTAAGTGTTAGAACTGGTAATCTCGATAGATTAGTATCCGGACGTAATGCTGATAAATTTTTAAAGTTCGACCATTTTCGTGGCGTCTTCTTTATTTTCTTTCTTTGATGTTGTACATTAAGATCGGATACTTCTTGAAGAACTTTGATTTCTATGTTTTCTTCATCAGGCTAAAATTGTATGATCTCATCTGGTATGGTCTCATTATTTCCAATTCTTTCTATTTCCTTCAAAATTTCTGCAAGAGATAGTAGTTTCTCACAAAAAATTTCTGAATAGGATATGTCATGCGTCCAATGGGTCGTTAACGACCCATGCAAATATTATAATATAGGTCAGTTCTGCAGTGGTTTGTTTACCGTTTGTAAATTGCTCTCCGCAGACGTGAAGATGGACAGTTTCCTGACCGTAGTCAAAATTGATGTTGCACCAACAATTTTCTGATTGTCGAAATTAAATTAATCTAAGGGAGAGCGCTCACCAATTTGTCATGGCAAATGGCAAGTAGCAAGTAGCGCGCGTCTAGCATGTTACTTAAAATGTAAACAATGAAAAAGAATGATTCAGCGCACACCAAAATGACAGTGACGTCATTCTTTCTAATCATTCGTTTGTATTGGTTACAAACAATCCATAAACATACACATCCCAACATTATACAACAAACAGAGCACCACACACACTCCTTAAGAGTCGAATTCAAATCAGAGAGAGAGGGGGAGATTGGTTTTCTGTGGTTTCCCAATCTGATTGCACAACGATACCTGATCCTAGGAGAAGATATAGTCACAGCTATCCTCCACGTGTTTAACTCAAACAAACAAAAGGCCAACAATCTAAAAAGGACCGTTTCTCCACGGAACTTGTACTTGGTAGCGGGCTTGGTCCACGTGGCTCCAATAAGGCGCAAATAACTCTTTTGACACTCTTGCTTTACACTGCCTAAGCCCTGTCTCGGAGGACGGCAGCTTGCGACTCACATTATCCTAATAATACCAACCTTGATGAGGCGCAAAGCCTAAAGTCGGTGAAAACGCAGAATCCAGAGAACCAAAAACTGACGAGATTTAATAACACTTTTAATAAAAAAATAAAGTTAAAACACAAAAACTAGATAGTAATAAAAAAAAGTAAAAACTAAAATGTATTTCAAAACCTAATAAAGACTCAAAATGACACAAATTCATTTTTTTTGTGAAACAATGAAAAGCAGTTTCTATCTTTTTTATACAAAACTGTACATTGCATTTATAACAAAAAAGTTAATCTGTTTGTTACAGTTAGCATGCTTACACCCTTTTTCTTCTCTGTTTCCATCCAGTTGAGGGATATGGTCTAGAGTTTTTAAATATTACTACTTTTTAAATTATTTTAATAGCAAATTAATAATAAAAATGTTTATTCTTCCTTCAAAAATTCAAACAAAAATAGTTACCAGAGTTTCACTAAAATTTCTTGGGTTGTAAAAGAACAAAAAACTGCGCCTATGGTCTGAAACGACGACCAGGGACAAACAAAATTGAGGTTGAAATTGGCGGCACTGGATACAAACTTTAGACTGGGCTTCTTAAAAAACTGGACAATAAAATATGTGCGTATCTTTCAAAATTGTTGCAGACGACACAAATCTCTTAAATGCTTAAAAACATAGAAACAGTGATTACTCTTTAAAAACTGATACATTAAATAGAGTACAATTCACTATTTTCAACAAATTTTGCCGGCTTTTTTAAACTACATATCGACGCTTGTTCTTAATGACCAACCATGCAAACCTCACTTAAAACTGTAACTATTAATGAACTGCTACTATGCACTACATGTTTTCCATGAAACGAGACGAAAAAACGAAAACATTACAAATTTGACGTAGAATTTGGACCAACGGTTAAGGAGCTGCCCCATACAACGGCCTCAGCGAGAGTGTCGCAAACATCTTTCCGGCAAAACCTTCTCAGCGATCTAAATGGATGTTTATTTAAAACGCAAATAATAAGGGGCTTAACGATCAAAAATATAGTAAAGAAATACGCGTGTGTGGTATATAAACAAACTAAAAATGGTTTATTATCGACATCGGCGACGCAAATAGGGTTGAAAATACTTTGGTATTTTATTACGTTTGATAGGAAATGAAGAGAATATCATGGACAGCAAGGATCACGAACAAGGAAGTTTTAGGAAAAATAAAGAAGGAACCAGAGATTGTGTTTACGATCAAACGTATAAAATTGCAATATCTGGGACACGTTATGAGAAATCAGCACCGTTACTCCCTGCTACAGTCTATATTGCAAGGTAAAGTCAAAGGTAAACGTGGTCCTGGTAGAAGGAGAATATCATGGCTGCGGAATTTAAGAACATGGTTTAAGAAAACCTCAACAGAGCTGTTTCAAGCCGCAGCGAGCAATGTTATGATTGCCAATATGATTTCCAACATCCGAAACGGATAGGAACCAGAAGAAGAAGAAGAAAATGAAATACACTAAAAATATTCTTGGCTGTTTTAATATATATGAGGGGATTTCAATACATACCAAAGAATTTTAAAATGCTACAAAATCACCGACCGGCAAAAAAGTGGCCGCCCTATAAATTTCCAAAAATAAAAATTCATTGGAAGTTTTATGCACTATTTTATATTTGTATAGTCAACATCTTTTATTTTTAAAACAAAAAATAACCATAACTGCTTAAATCCTTAGCGTAATTTATTTCACTAGAAGGCTACAAAAGAAAATAGTATAATATTGAAACGAATTACTAACAATAAATATAGTAAAAATGTGTATTGATGATAATGTAATATATATTTTAATTTAATTCACTAAATATGTTTTTAGTTTTGAATGTTCTTTTTCCATTTTATAATGATTTTATTTTATTATTGTTTATAATTGATAAATATATCCATCTTGTAGATTCAACTGGTTGGTTTTATCTGGACAATTATACATTATATTTATTTTGGTAATATCAAGTTTACTGAAACCAATTCTTTGACCAATTCTATTTAGGTAGTTCATGTCCTTCGGAATGATAGTCCATTCATTATTTCCACTGTAGCTATAAGGAGCGTAGTGAGTAAGAGAATCATAATCGTAAGGTAACCCATAGGTTACACCAGCTTGAATTTGAAAATTATGTCTTTGATTAAACTGTATATTATTCCAAAGAATGGTTACATAAGAATCTCTATCATACCTGCTGTGTTCATGAAAAAATCCGACAACGTGCATCAGTTCATGTACAAGAAGTGCAACTCCATTAAAACATCCTTCATGATTTAACCAGATATGGTTATTAGTACCACTTTTACCAACCGATGACGAGACGCAATCGAGGGGTCCAAGATTATTAAAGGTCAGATAAACATCTTGAGTGGTTCTTGGTATTAATTGTATGCAAGTATATTTTAAATACATACTTTTGGCTAATTCCAATATGTGAAGTTCGTGGTTTGAAAAAGATCCTCGTATTTCATACGGTATAATTCCGCCTTCCCACTGATAAAACGGACTTGTAACACCATTTCTTAACTTGAAGTTATTTGTGATATTACCTTTCAATTCCGTAAATCTATCCTCTATTAAGGGTGCAGGATGCACTTTTTCTGTGTAGTTGCTAATTGTGAATTTTTTTAACTCCGAACTTTTAACATTACTAACGGTTATTACAATCAAAAGCAAAACATATGACATGTTTGATTTTTAAAGCTTATAGAATGCGATTCAAAATAAATTAATAGTATATTTAAGAATCAACTCTGGAGTCTATAACTTAAAATTTTAATTATTTAATTTACTAAGCTAATTTATATATTTTTTTTATTTCTATTTATTGTTTTAATAAATTAAAGTGATACGAATAATTTAAAAAATTCAATAAAAAAGTTAATTTAAAATTTACGACGTTGATTTAATCTAATCTATTATTGTTGATAATAAATATAATTACTCCAAACTCATTACCACACAAACCTAACTATAATAAGCTATATAAAGCTAATTGAAAGACAGCTTAACATTCTCGACGCGTTGAGTTGAGAATATCTGACCTTGGGGACAGGTGAGTTGAACGTGTCCCAAATCATTCCGAACCCAGTCGATCTGGCGCGTTGAGCGAGATTAACAATCCTTCCTTGACTGCTTCAGACTGGTGCTTTGAACGATATTGGCGTATTCTTTCTATCTGGTGCGTTGAACTAGATAGACATCCTCATCCTTGTCCAAGTACTCGTTCTGCGTTGAGGTACGAGTACGACATCAATTCCTCGATCGCCGTATCTTAGTTTACCATATCGAATATCGTCACACCCATCTTCCAAAATAAATAAACGGTACGTCTTTGTATTCAAACATTGTATTCAGTACTTAACGATCATTACTTTTTCATTTGTACATGTAAATTCGAAATAAATGCCTATACGAACGAATCCTGTTTCTCTGGCTAAATTATACTATCGGACCTCAGCAAAAAAATAATGAAATGAGTCATACACGTGATATCGTAAGTTATCTTAAAATTTATGAGTTTTACCAAGAAACGTATCAGTAGCGGAGAATTTATTTTTTATTTAGCGTATAGCATAATATTAAAAACACCTAATTAAAAGCAATATTTTTATAAAAAACGAGTGGAGTGTTACAAACGAATATCTAATTACGAATTTTCGGTCTCATTCAGGAATTCCATCTTCTTAGTTTTTTATGCTGTTCTATCAGTATATTACCTTCCTTATCTATTTACTTCTTTCTTTTGAATTTTTTTTACTTTGTTTCAGTTTCTGGTAAAATTTTCTCGTCTCTATTGGCTGACTGAAAAGTTCTTGAAGTTCTTTATTCAAAATTTATCTGTTCTTTCTGCGGTGGATTTTATTTTCTTCCTTGCGTAGTTATATATACAGTGGAACTCGCTTATTGCGGCCTCGGTAGTTACGTCATCTCGGTTATAACGCCAATTTTTAATAGGTCCGGTCAAAACTATTCCATAACGTTATTAAAAACCCGATTTTATCGGCTAAAAATAAACTAACCCTCGGTTATAGCGTCATAAAATTTTATAGTAGGTCCTTTTTTTTATTTTATAAAGAATACAGTGCAATGCGTTTCTTTCTTTGCGGCATTTGTTCCTTCCAAGAATGTAAGAAAGGTCCATTATCCCTTCTGTGTACAGTTATGTTACCCTGACAATCTATAATTTCGCATTTATCAGTGCCGTCCTAACACTCCTAACAGTCAAATTTTCTGTTTCGGAACAGTCGGTTTAAGAATTTTTCGCTACCGTGAAATTGTGTTCGGATCTATTTGTTTTTTTTTTTATTTTAATTTGGTAATTAGCTTTTATTTTTTAATATGGCAAGTTGTAGCACTAAAAGGAAGGTTTTGCCTATTAAAGAAAAAGTGCGTGTTATAAGAGCATTTGAAAGTGGTCGAAAAATTGCTGATGTATGCCGGCAATTTGGACTTGTTAATTCGACTGTCGCATGTCGGCTCAATCATAAAAAACAAGGACAGAATTTTAAAAGCCTTTAAAGAGGACGGAAACAATGTTAAAAAGATCAGGAAGTGCATTCGTGGTAATGTAGCTCTACTCAAATGGTTCAAGCAGTGTCGCAGTTCTGATATCCCTGTGTCCGGGCCACTTTTAAAGGAGAAAGCTACAGAGTTCGGAAAATTGTTTGGTGAAGATTTCACATGCTCTAATGGCTGGTTAGATCGGTTTAAAGAGAGGCACTCAATTTCCTTCTCGAAAATTGTTGGCAAAATGTGTGGACGAGAACGTAACAAGTGACTGGTTACAAAACACATGGCCACAACAAAGACAACCATTCAAAGATGAAGATATCTTTAATGGTGACGAGACAGGTGTCTTTTATAAATTAACGCCAGACAAAACTTTAAATTTCAAAAATCAAAAATTTGTCGGTGGAAAACTTTCCAAGCAAAGAGTGACGGCTTTTGTTTGTGCAAATATGACAGATACAGAAAGAAGAAAGCTTTTGGTTATTGGAAAAGTTTACATCCTAGATGTTTCAAAAACATTAAAACACTACCTGTAAACTCCACAGCCAATAAAAAAGCATGGACGACTTCTGCTATTTTTAAAGAAGAATTGAGAAAGTGGGACAAGGAACTCTCTTTCAAAAAAAGAAAAATTCTTCTCCTAGTTGACAACTGTGCAGCCCATCCCAAACTTAATTTGACCAATATAAATCTAGTGTTCTTACCAGCCAACTGCACGAGTGTCTTGCAGCCTATGGACCAGGGAGTCATAAGAAGTTTAAAGTGGCATTATCGAAACCAGCTTTTAAAAAAAATGATTTTTTGTATGGATAATGGAGAACCTGTGAACATTACCATCCTGGATGCTGTTCAGTTCTTAGACAATGCGTGGAGTGCGGTTACGTCAGTGACAATTCATAAGTGTTTTCGTCAAGCAAAATTGACTGTAGCTTCTCTCAATGTTGAGGACGTTGATAAAGATGACGAAATGCCTTTGTCAGAGTGGATACAAAAATTTAATGTGAATCAGGGAGCGTTCGGAACTGATCTTGACTTCTACATTTCAGTAGACGATGAGGTGGAAACATTTTAAGTCCTAAGTAATAAAGAAATTGTTGAACTGGTGCAAAACGTGGAAATGGATGTCGATGAAGCTGACGAAGAAGAAGACATCGTTGCTTGTCCTACAATCCAAGAAGCAATGAGAGCTCCTGAGACCATATACAGGTTTTACCAGTTCAGGGAGGCATCCACAAATACCAAAGAAGCAGCTCAGCTTATTAAGGAAACAACAGAAAAACTTTATTTTTCGGAAAGGGTTGTGCAAAAGAAAATAACGGACTTTTTTCAGCAATAGAACTTTTTTACACAATGTAAGTTTCATATACATACATAATATGTTTTGTTTATTAATTGTTTTTTATCCTAAAATGATTCTTGTTTTTTTTTAAATATGACTTAAGTAAATGTTATATTTTCGGTATATCGTAAACTATGTTAAATTATCATGTTTAGGCCCAGAGTAGTTAACAAATAATATATCTACTATACCCAATAATGCTGTAATAATATTTTCCCTCATTAAAATTTTATTTTTCTCAACCTCTTTTTTAACGTCACTCTGATATAGCGTCATTTTTTTTATTGGACCCTTCAATGACGCTATAACCAAGTTCCACTATATATATATATATATATATATATATATATATATATATATATATATATATATATATATATATATATATATATATATATATATATGATATACAATGTGAATGAGATTAAAATCTCACTGTAAATAAGGATATCGGTCAAGGAGATAAATAATGAAATAAATAATGAAAAAACTATTTCAATCTTTTAATAGAAAACGTTTCGTGCAGTATTTCTGCACTTCTTCAGTTCTAATTATTGTAAAGTCATATATAGATGTCAAATGCATATGTTGAGATGTTATAAAATACATTAAATAAATACAATATAAGTTATGGTAAAAAAATTACATTCAGAATTTTATTTAAAATTTATACAAACATTGAAAAGTTACAAAATGTCACAATATGTTAACAAGTACAGTATAATATAATACAACACTTCTATTCTGTCGCTGATGTAAAATATCTCGAAACATGAAGCCAGGAGAAAAAGTACCTTGTTTTTATTGAGCTCAGTGAAACAATTTGAAAAAAACTATTTTTATTGAAAAAAGCATGGAAGTTAACTTTATTGTTAGATATACCAAAGTAATTAAAAGAAAAAAAAAGGAACTATTTTTAACAGATAGGGATCATCTATTCCAAAAAGCAAAACAAAAAAATAAAATGTCAATTTGTTTAAAACCTAATTATAAGAGGGTTGGTAATAAAATGTAACGATGACCATTGCTGGGGTACCATGTGGTTCCTTTTGGAAAGGATTTTACATCGAAGTGTGATGTATGAAGATTTATTTATATTTAAGAAGATTTATAAAAAAAAATGAATACATGAAGAACATGATGATCCATGTGATGATACAGAGGTAGATCTTTGAGAACAACTACATAATATTTTATTTTATATATATATATATATATATATATATATATATATATATATATATAAAAAAGGATCACTCAACAGAGTGGTGGGCTCTTATATCGGTCAATTTGTAGGTGGAGAAATGAAAGACAAAGTTGATGTGCCACTCTATTTTGAAAACGTTTCGCTTTCGTATTCTGAAAGCATCATCAGTTCATTCTAAAAAGTATAATATAAGAACCACACAATCATGGAAAAGATGTTACAGGTGTTACCTTAAAAAGACATGTAGCAGTCAAAGATGTTAACAAGCTTATGAATTAAACTTGAATAAATGGACAATATAAAGTAGAAATGTATAAACATTTAATTTACTAACAACATTTAGTGACTTATTAAAAAATTAGCACAGTGAGTGACCATGTGGTCAGAAGTATAAAAAATATATATTAAATTATAACGTAGTCGATGCAAAGAACTAAGAAAATCAACGATTAACTTCCAACAATAGATAATTATTAAACTTTAATTTTAACTTTTGGTAGCATTATTAAAAGATGTTAATATAATTTAAAAATAAAATAAGTGTAAAAGAATGAAGTTACCGGTCTAAGCCTTACACCTGCTACCAGGAAAATGGCGTTAGATTGAACAGACTGACACAGATCTACGAAAAGACAGCCAACCTTGAGGTTGAAATTATTTCAACAGAACAGCAAGGTCAGAGGTACCACCTCAAATAATTGAGCGG